GGGGGTATTAGAGTTATTGTACTATACGTATTGGGTATAGAGTAGTACTCTACCCCAATACGTATCCTCGTTGTATACGCCATCACGGGGGCTCTTCCCGTGTATATAAACACGTAATCGGCTACCCCAAAGGGTACGTCCGTTCACCTCAGAATTAACAACACTATCTTATCTGAGAAGAATTTTCTCCGCGTGCCCAACTCGTGCACTGAAATGAGACTAGGTGCATCGGCTAGGCTGTGCTTGGCATGTAGTACTTCATTCTACCCAAGTGGGGCGTTGGCTCCTTGCCGATAGCCTCAAGCAAATGCCCCAGACGTTTGCGCCAACTTGCATCCTGTCTTGATCCTATGATGCTTCAAACTAATTGGAGGCCAATTATTTTTCTTGCCGCGCGGAACGGGAAAGGTACTAGAGCATCTCTAGCCATTGGCCCCCCGGGAGGCTTGAAAATCGCCGCCTGGGGGCGAGCCGGCGCTAAAATCGGCGCTGGGGGGATTGAGTTCCCAGGCGCAGATATAGGCCCTTTTTTCGCAAATATGCCCGCTTTTCGGCCCAGTTTCGGCGAAAAAATTGGCCCGATATCGACGCAAACCTGCACATATTCATCGTGGTTCGGCGCAAATTCAACAAAAGTAATTTCTTAATCACATAGTTTATAGAAAATCAATAGAAATCAAATAGTTCAACAACAAATGATTCTATACGAATTATACAGTTTAACAAATAAAAACTCATATTTCATCACCTGTCGAGCTAGGCGTTGCCCTTGAGCCTCCATAGGTGCTCCACCAGATCCTGCTACAGTTGTTGATACACCTATGGGTCTCGGATCTCCTGACGCATATTGAGGAGGCAATCCAGGTTGCCGGTAGCTAGTGATCAACTTGCACAAAAGGACCGTGCCTGTAATATGGTTCAGTGTCAAATGCTAGCTCCTCCTGCTCGCTCTCAATGATCATGTTGTGCAAGATGACACAGCAAGTCATGATCTCCGACATTTGATCTTTCGACCAGGTCTGAGCAGGGTACCGGACAACAGCAAATTGAGATTGGAGCACACCAATTGCCCGCTCGACATCCTTCCTGCAAGCCTCCTGAACCTTCGCAAAGTGGGAGTTCTTGCCTCCTGGCATAGGGTTTGAGATAGTCTTCACAAATGTAGACCATCTCGGATAGATGCCATCGGCTAGGTAGTACCCCTTGTTGTAGTGCCGCCCATTGACCTCGAAATTCACCGAAGGAGAATGACCTTCAACAAGTATGACAAAGACAGGGGAGCACTGTAGCACGTTGATGTCATTGTGAGTTCCTGGCATACCAAAGAAGGAGTGCCAAATCCAGAGGCCCTGTGTGGCCACTGCCTCAAGTACCACACTACAACCGCCTTTGGCGCCTTTGTACATCCACTACCAAGCAAATGGACAGTTCTTCCATTTCCAATGCATGCATCCAAGCATCCCAGGAAATCCTCTTGCTGCATTCTGTGCTAGGATCCGAGCAGTGTCTTCAGCATTCGGTGGTCGCAAGTATTGCGGTCCAAATACTGTCACCATTGCCCTGCAGAACTTGTAGAAACACTCAATGGTCGTGGACTCGGCCATGCGCCCATAGTCGTCGAGTGAATCACCGGGAGCTCCGTATGCAAGCATCCTCATAGCTGTCGTGCACTTCTGGATTGAGGTGAATACAACTGTGCTGGTGCAATCCTTCTTGCACTTGAAGTAGTTGTTGAACTCCCGGAAGGAATTCACAATCCTGGGGAAAAGCTTTCGGCTCATCCATTAATGGCGCCGAAATACTTTATGGCCGTGCAATGGAGCCTGAGTGAAGTAGTCGGAGTAGAGCATGCAATAGCCTTCCAGATGATGCCGGTTCTTTGCTTTCTGCCGCCCCGGCACCGAGCCACCTCGCCGCGGCTTTTCATTGCTCGCGAGCATGCCGGCAAGGGCAGCGAGGACCATGAGATGCTCCTCGTCCTGGACGTCGGCATCGGCTCCCTCCTCCATCGACGCCACGAGCGCCTCCTTGTCATCCGAGTCTATCGCCAGGCAGACAAATCGCCGAACACCTGGCGGGTGTGGTGGGAGCACAGCCGCCCGTATACCGCCCTATGCGGCCGTAGCGCCGGATAACTCGCCGTGGAAGGTGGTGGAGAGGTTGCCGCGGCGAAACCTTCTCCCTTTTCCGGCGGAGAATGACCTATCTAGCGGTGCTGGGCGGTGGGCGGGGCCGGTATCGGTATGGTGCTGGCCGAGCGCTCAGGGGTGAGGGGCGAATCTGAACGATTGCCTTGACTTTTCGCCTGACAGTGTGGCCCAGGCATGTTTTTCCCTTCCGCCGGAGCACCCAAGCACCCCAGCGCGCTGGGTTCGGCCTGGGATTGCCGGGCCCAAAAACGGGCCGAGCTGGATGATTTCGGCTTCTTGGGGGCGAGACTAGGGGGTTTCTAGGCGCCGGCGCAAAAAAATCGTCCTGGGACCTGTTGAGGACGCAGCTGGAGATGCTCTTAGATGAAGAGAAAAAGAAACTTCCATGTGTTGGGGGCTGGTCCACAGTCCGTCGACAGAAAATGAAGGGTAGAAAATTGAGGTGCACCATCCTGGCCTCTCGCTGCTTCTTTTCTGGATAGTGTACTCAACGCCACACAATACTGTAACGTATGCAAGACTGCAAGTAGCTAGCTAGCCTGAGAAAGACAGACCGAATGCGACAGATATCTCGGAAGAATTTTCTTTGCGTGCCCAGCATGTGCACTGAAATGAGACTAGGTGCATCGGTTAGGCAGTGCTTGGCAAGTACCACCCCAATTAGGCGTTGGCTCCTTGCTGATAACCTCAAGCAAAAGCGTCAGACGTTTGCGCCAATTTGCATCCTGTCTTGATCCCGCGATGCTTCAACTTGCCAAATTTACTGCAGCTTGACAACACAAGGCTGCCTCCAATTTTTCTTTAGAAAATGAGGCTTTCCACCCCATGTTTTATAGAAATCTAACCAATTTGTACTGCCATGGTAAGCTGGAAGAAGCTTTCGTCCGCCTCGAAGCCACAATCATACAAAAAAAAAACAATGGAAAGAATGTAAAAGGAGGCGTGGCACCACGCTGTCACAAAAGTAGCGACGCAAGAGGTCTCGACAACCTGGCCAGGTGGAAGAAGGAGACCATGGAGGAAGGGTTGATGATTTCGTACGTTGTGCCCCAGATGCTCAAGCCTTGAGAAGCAGCCCAAACCAAGCATGACGACCAACATCTTCCATTCCAAGACCAAGGACTTCACGAGCAACCAAGACAACGCCTTTGAGTAGGGGGTTGATGCTACAACGCCGCCTTTGTCCAATCCGATGAACCATACCTACGGTTTCCCCCAGTGCGTGAAGAGCGGCACAGAGAAATGCCTTTGGCAGTGCCTCCAAGAAGGGGACGACACCTGCAGTGCCCTGATATGTGACCGAGCATTTCCAAATGTCAACGAATCAGGATTCAAAGATAGGGAAGCCAAATTGCCGACTGGAACCACCACCGCAGGGAGGAGAGCACGACTGGCTGTGCATATTTAAGCAAGGAGTACCAACACTAACTATTGACAGTTTTGTTTATAGATATCAAATATTCCTGCTCTACACATACAGCCAAACTTGTTCTAAGATACTCATATCAGAGTGCAGTTTGCGAGTTCAAAAAAAATTTCCTCGCATTTTTGGCATATTTTTCCCGAGCACGTGTAATAGTAACAAAAAAATTCGATGCGAATAGGTGTGAATTAACAAGCTGCTCATCCTGTCCAGGTTCGGCTTGTTCAGCTCGTGTGGTTAAGCTTGTTAAGCTTATCGAGCAAAAAAAATAGTTCAGTTCTCTGTTCATTTAAAGCTCATTAAACTCATGAGCGCTCGTTGATAGACTACACTGTATTACGGCCTACGGGGTGAGAGCGTGGGTGTGATTTTTACGAAGGAATATGGTAACTACATGAGGAGGTGCGCTAGTTTGATCCCTCTGATGGGCTAGGCTAGGTCGATAAGATTAATAAATGGGTTGAGGTGCCATGAAATATTGGCACTTAAGATAATAATATGTGTTGTGTTGTACTAATGAGTTTAATGAGTTGCCTGTGAAACTTGTTAGCGCATTCATTAAGCTTTACATAAAGCGAGCTGAAATAAACATTTGCCTCTGTTCACTAAGCAAGTTGTACAAGCTTAACGAGTTGAGCTATCGAGCTCTCACGTGAGCTACGAGTTTCTAATCCTACCCTATGTGCGGAGGAGGAGAGGAGTCCATCCCATGCTAATGGTTGCATGTGTATACTATTTGATACCTTTCTCAATGTTTAAATAAAAAATCTGAATGTTTGGATGATAGCGGAATATTTTGGAGACCAGCGACCCGAGAGAAGAACTTCAAATGCAGGTGTTGTCTCAAGAAAATAGCGAATGACGGCGGCTAGAGAAAAAACCATGGGTTCGAAGGTGTTTTCCTATGGGTGAACGGGCCAGATAAGAGGGAGCCGGGACTCCGGGATCCTGTCGCACCTTTTCGTTTTCTATGTCATAATTGATTGTTGGTGAAGCTTATCACTTCAGGTATCCTGTGAAGGAACCCCGCAAAAATAAAAGATATCTTGTAAAGGAAATTAATAGGATAGTCTTATATATTCAGGTAAGGATTTTCCAGTGATTTTCTCAAAGGAAATCTTATCCCTAGTAAAATCCATTCCTCGGAAATCACCACCAACAGAGCTCGGGAATAATCTGCTTGGTAGAACATACCGGTAATTAAGATGCGAGGTGCAAGATGGATGAAGCTTCAATTTATTCACGAAACAACATGTCAACAACTCAGATCGAAGAGAGTGCACGCCTGCGTGCCATCGACGAGGAGGAGACACTAAGGACCTACTAGTAACAACAGTTCAACTCTTGGGGTGAAAACAACTAAGAAGGCAGAGGAATTATTGGATCGACACGATCCTCCGCCGGTAATGGAAAGACACGATCATTAACTAGTTACCGGTGACGGCGATGTTCCACTTTGGATAAAGCACCGTAGTGATGTACTCCTCCAGCTCGTCCACCCCAGGCAGCAGCGCCTTGACCGGCTCCGCGACCCTGAACCTCTCCGCCCATGCGGCTAGTTTCGGCGTCCTCGCCGGGTCGATGAGCGGCCCCAAGCCGGCCAGGCGGCCTACTGCCTCAAACCAGGGAAGATAGCACCCGAGCGCGATGTCGAGGAACCCGATGGTGTCACCACCGAAGAACGGCGCCTCCGCCTCTGCCTCCCCTTTGGAGCACTCTGCAAGGACACCTTCCAAGTGTCGGAGCCCGGACAGGGTCTCCTCCACCTTACCGGCTCTCTCCTCCTGCTTCGCTGTCTTGAGGATGCCGATGCACGAAGGAAACAACTGTGGCAACAAAGCGAGTTGAGAGGAGGTATATTCTGTGTATGAAATGAACTACTTCTTCGGTCCCATAATATAAGAGTGTATTCTACACTAGTTCTAAGGAAGTACTAACCTTGCCGTTCACATAGGCGGCCCAGAAGCGAGCGACGGCGCGGCTGTAGGGGTCTGTGGGGAGGATCGACGTGCCGTTGCCGGCAAGGCCGGGTGCGTCGTCGAGGTACTCCAGGATGAGCAGCGACTCGCAGACGGGCCTGCCGTCGTGGATGAGGACGGGCACCTTCTTGTACACGGGGTTGGACGCGATGAGGAGGTCGCTCTTGCACCCGCGGTCCTCCGGGAGGTACTCGTAGCTCAGCCCCTTTACGGCGAGCGCCATCTGGGCGCGGAGCACGAAGGGGCTCACCCCGGGCGCCCACCACCCCAGCAGCTTCAGCTCTTCACTGCCGGCCATCAACGTTTCCTCGTCTTCCTCCCTGATACTCCTGTCCTGTATATCTGTTGCTTAAGTGTATGAGTATATGGCAAGGCCCGAACTGCGATCTTTATAAGCACGAGTGGCAAAGATGAAATCGTCTGAAAGGAAACAAGACAAAAGTTGGAGTCTGAGGCAGGAAAAACTAATTATAAGAGAGCATGTTGATGCGGCACCTACCCACTCCCCACCTACCGCACCTTCTGGGCTTCTATCCTCCACCTCCAGCTAAAAATTTCAACAATGTGCCAGATACAAAAAATGCTACACCTACGGCACTGCTGGAATTTCAGGTACACCGAGTGTCATGCTCTTCGCCGATTGCTAAAACACGGACAGTCGGTAAAGAAAACTTTGCCGGGTGCCACTCTTGGCAAACCCAGCTTCACGGTAAACTGTCTTCTTTGCCGTCACTGCCCACGGTAAAGAGGCACCGCACGGCAAACCCTGCAGACGCCGAGAGCCGCTTACGGCAAAGAGGAGCCACGTGGCATGCCCATCCGCAACAGACGACTTCGTCAGTTACTGCGTACGTTACCGAGAGCCGCCATACGACACTCGGCAAAGTATATGCCACATCCTATTTTCTTTTTTTGTGTGTGTTCTTTCTAACTGACATGTGGTCCCACTGGTCACATTTATCAGTAAAAGTTTTAAATAACTTGCTAAATATATTTTTAAAAATGACGATATCGTTGCTGAGAGCTCCTCTCGGCAATCCTTCTGACCAGTAGGACAGCGTGGTAAAGTTGGCCCTCGGCAATCTCTTTGCCGAATGGTGCTCTCAGCAAACATGGCATGTTCTCCTGCTCCCACATGTCAGGAGCTGACATGTGTCGACCTGCTACTGTCTCTCTTTGCCGAGTGGAGCTCTCGGCAAAGTTGGCCCTCGGCCTGTTTTTCTGGTCCCACGTGTTAGGAACTCGTCGTCCCCGTCTGCTATCCGTTAGCTACTTTATTTTGCCGAGCTGTACTGTTTAGCTCTCGGCAAAGTCTTTGCTGAGTGCCCGTGTTCTGGCTCTCGGCAAATTCCTGTTTGCGGAGAGGTGTACGTCGGGTGGCCTTTGCCGAGGGGGACACTCGGCAAAGGCTTTGCCGGCGGGTTTTCGGTCCTTTACCGAGTGTCCGTGGCACTCGGCGTACATCGGAATTCTAGTAGTGGGTATTACGTGCTCTTTATGTAAATTTGCTAAACCAATCTCTCAACCGCCAAATTCAACTGGGTGGGCCCCATCTGTTAGCTATACTGCAGAGTAGTTAGTTCCTCCCAGGATCAACGTAGAGGATCAGAGAGCAGCTAAGAGAGAAGATGCATCAGCTGCATATATATGTAGTTGTGTCAGTGAACACCTGCATTACTGATAGAGAAGCTCACGTTCTACTACTTAGATGATTGTACTCTCGAAAAAAACTACTTAGAAGCTTTATTGCTGAGAGTGGCGTTTTGGCGCATGGGAGCATGCGCTTTTAGTTTTCTAAATGTGTTTTAAACATATTTTAAAATATCAAAAAAATTCAAACAAAAATCTGGCATGTACATCTCAATATTGTACATGCCCATAATGTCTTTTGGCAAAAAAACGGACAATTTATGTGTCACTTGTGAAGAAGACAAAATCCGATGTCAAAAAATGCTTTTGACAAGACATCCTTTTGTCCTTTTTACACGGGCCACAAAAAATATCGGTTTTTTCCGAAACTTAACGTGCACACATATAATGTTGAGATGTATGCGGAAAATTTTTGTTCGGAATTTTTTCACACTTTAAAATATGTTTTTCACGTCGGCGCGCTCCTGAAGCACCCATGAATTTCCCCTTTATTGCTTCCAATTGGTACGAGTAATTTCGCAGCAAGGGGCGGAAGACCTGCCAGTCAAGGTGACTTGAATTTGGCAGCCATACTATGTCATGCATGACGTGAGCTGCAGTACATGCTACTGTACTGTCTAGCCTAAGAGGGACATACAGAATCCGATAAAGCCACGTATACATGGTAGCACCTACTACCACACACAAATAATTTATTACTTGCATGTCCAGCTCATGCATGCACCATTCTGCTAGCAACACGTACACTTCCTTAGCTAAGTTCAGTAGACATGAATTAAATATATTTTACTGCTAGCTATTGTAACAAATGCTTCTTGCCGATGCCCTTGGATATTTTAGCTAGTACACTGCCTGCATGATGCATATTACTTTTTTCTTTTTGCAGAGAGCATGATGCATATTAGTTGGCGAAACAAGGTTATAGTTTAACACCCGCTCCATTTCATTCAACCAAAAAAATGGCCCCAAGTCTTTTACATTAATCATGTAAGTGTCATTTCTTATGAACAGTAGCAGAGCCAGGATTGGCTGAGGCTGTGAGCGAGAAACTAAAGGTCAAAAAATAACTAAAACAACTCAGTTTCAAGGCATGAGCAATTTTAACATGGTAAGGTAAGAGTTACTCAAACCGGCTACTTAATAATAAAATCACCGGCTCAGTCATAAAAGGAAATAACTTAGACTGGTGGGTAGTGTCATACGTGTGATGACATAGAGAGGTTCATTCATTACTTTGTAGAGTCATTTTATATTCAGAACCGCTACATGATGATAACATATTGTGTTACTTCATTCGCATCTCTCCTCATTAATTACTTGTCACACCATACTTTTTGCCTATGTGGCATGCATGTTACTAATTAATTATGTTACTCCCACTATAAGCAGGCTTATGTTCCTTTATATCTCACATGAAAAAAGGAGTTAAGATGGGTCATGTTAAAACTTCTCGGACAAATAAGAATTCAACCACAATGATACGGGGATACCCATTGCGTCTGAGCCGCAGAGGCAGAATGCCGAAGGGCGCCGGCTCCTGAGGTTGCTCCTCGATAAGTGAACGGCCAAGACTAGATTGCACGAACAGGGCCGCGACCTCGCTAGGCAGCATGTTGCCTTGTCGAAGGAGAGGACCTGCCGCCAACCAAGACATGATATGGAAGTGGAGTACTGCCCGCTGCCACGCATGGTTGGCCGTTTGGCAGCAAAAACGAGACACGGCAGAGGCTTGGTGGGGTAGGGTTCTTCCACATGGTGGCGGTTCGTTTCTTTCTTTTTAAGTAAAAAATGGACTCACGCAGGCAATCCCGCACATATCCTTCTTCTTTTCTCCTTCGCGCATTACCCCGAGCAGTAACCTTTTTTCATCTGCGGTGATCTTGGGTCTGTAATCAGCCGAACAGTACCCCGAGCAGCAACTTTCAGCACCCCAGACACTACTTCGGCCCTTGGTGTGAAATCGGATGGAGATGGCCTAAACATTAAATTTGTCCGTTTTGATGAGATGGCCATGCTATTTATATTTATTGCCTTGCCAAAATCTTGTATTAACATGTTTAAATTTTTTCCTTAGATATTAAGAACTCAACAGGAGAACATTGCATTTCGTACTAGTCACGTCCTTGATGGGGTAAAATCGGATAAGTACAGTAGACACAGTTTTTTGTTTCCCTTCTCGCAAGGCGACTTGGGAAAGCCATCTTCCTTTTGATCACCGCCAACGAGTTTGTGCATTCGCCTCCCCTCCTCCTGGCACTCCAGCAGCCGGTGGCAGGGAGGGTATTCCTGGTGCCTCGACTTAGATAGGTAGGGTTTTGCTTCTCGCAAGGGCAGCGTTCGGATGGATGGCGGCGCTTCTTCTTTGAGTCAGTCTCCCGGACTCTAATCCTCCTCAAGTTTGTTCATCGGGACGTATTAGACAGAGCTCCGGCTTAAATTCCTGTCAGCTCCTCGGAGTGGCGAGGTTAGTGTTTCTCGTCGTGCGTACGCAACAACAAGATTTGGTGTCAGGTTCTTCAGATCAAATGAAGGATTCAACGGCGATGCTTGCGGCCCCCAAACGCTCGCCCTTAGGGCACACACACGAATACTTCCTAGCTATTATCGACAAGGTCCAGCCGGCTCTGGTATCGGAGCAGCGACAGTGGCGCGTTGGCGGCTCGTTCGGGCGGCGGCAATGGTTGTTCGGTTGTCCACGGATCTTGATGTAATTTTTATTATGTTTGGGTGCTTTGTACTTTCGGTGAACATTTATAATGGATCTGATATTTTCGAAGAAAAAAATGAGAAAGCGATGAAAGATTGACGAAGCTTTAATTTATTTCCAAAACAGCAAACTCAGATCGAAGACAGTGCACGCATGTGCACCATCCATGACGACCCTAACAACCAAGTGACAAAAGTTCAACGAGCACAACAACTCGTGAAAAACGCCAATTGAATTTCAAGGCGAGCACAGCAACAGCGACGAAACGAGGCGACATGATCTCTAATTAGTTGGCGATGCAGTGAGCGCGGCCTTCCACTTTGGATAAAGAATCGTTGAGATGTACTCCACCACCTTGTCCGCCTCAGGCAGCAGCCCCCTGACCGGCTCGGTGGCCGTGAACCGCTTCGCCCATGCGGCCAACTTTGGTGTCCTCGCTGCGTCGAGAAATGGAGGCATGCCGGCAAGGCAGCCTATCGCTTCGATCCAGGGAAGATAGCACCCGAGCGCAATGTCAAGCAGCCCGAGAGAGCCACCACCAAAGAACGGCGCCTCCGCGTCCCCTTCCTTGGAGCATTCCGCCAGGGCAGCCTCTAGGAGCCCAAGTGCCGACAAGGTCTCCTCCACCTTATCGGCTCTTTCCTGTGGCTTCCCTGTCTTGAGGATGCCGATGCACGAAGGGAACAGCTGCGGCAGCACATTGATTATGTGATTTTTCAATAATCTATATTTTCTTTCAATGGATATTTCAAGATAATACAACTCAGAGCGAATGTTCAACATCTGCATAACACAATGCACGCAACCAACAGGTCCAACTCAAAACAAAAAAAGTATTATCACTTTAATGAAAGAAAAAAGTCTAAGATGGGCCAAACTAGACGAAATGAAACATACCTTGTTATCCACGTAGGCGGCCCAGAAACGGGCGACAACACGGCGGTAGGGGTCGGCAGGGAGGATGGAGGCGCCATTTTCGGGGAAGGCGCCGTCGAGGTACTCCAAGATGATCAGTGACTCGTAGACGGGCATGCCGCCGTGAATGAGGACTGGCAGCTTCTTGTGTATGGGATTGGATGCGAGGAGCAGGTCGCTCTTGCACCGGGTGTCCTCGGGGAGGTAGTCGTAGGTCAGCCCCTTGATGCCGAGCGCCATCTGGGCGCGGATCACATATGGGCTCACCCCGGACGCCGCCCCCAGCAGCTTCAGCCCTTGCTCTTGAGTGCCGGCCATCATCGATGGTCGTTGAAGGATCTCTGTAGCTACGTGTTGATTAAGTGTAGTATGTATACGATATGGCACTGCATCGTCATACGATGATTGTACATTGATAGCCGTCCATGCGCCTTGAAATGTGCAATCGGCCATCACTTTATCGCGACACCGTTCCACGATCCGTATCCAACCACCTGCCCATTCTGTCATGGGGAAAATGTGCGGCGTCTTTACATTGTGGCACAAGGACCAATGAAGATAAGCTGCATATGTTGTCTAAAAAATTTCCAAAAAGTATATCATTTGGATAAGTTACTATATGATGGTAATACACATGTGATCGTGTTTTGTGCCTGACGAGGGATCTCTAGTCTTAAACAATGATGAAGTCAACATTTCTTGCATTTTTTTTTTGAAACCGGGGGAGAGACCCCACCTGAATATATTTCAAAAAGTGTTAGAGTTTACAGGGATCACGTAATACGTGAGGAGAGTAAGTCACACCACAGCCCTGCGTGTTCCTTTAAATTTTCCGTCTTGAGGTGTTCCTTTAAAGTTTCCGTCTTGAGTATCTCAAGACGGACACGCAGAAGAAGGTAATTAGCCGTAATACAGAGGTTTTGATATCATTTTTCAAACTTTGGAAAACCTTCTTGTTCCTAGAATCCCAGATTTTCCTTATTGTTCCTTTAAAGGTCCTAGCATCAAAGGAACCATTGTGTCAATACTGATATAATGGATCATCAGCTTATTGACACAATGGATCATCAGCTTGTACATGAACCATTCATCTCTCATAAATTCATAATACTGATATAATATGGGAATTCTATTTTCATGAAAAATTTGCTTATTACATTTCAACCTTTGTATTCAAAATAGAATTCTGAATTGTACAACCTGGACTTAATTTTTCTCATTGAAAGGCAAACTATAACTTTAAGCACATGCAATTATAAACATGAAGACCATAGAGAACTCGATGTACTGTGTGCACCTTGGTAGGCACATCGTGGTGATCCATGTGCATATTCTGTTGAGTCTCAACTTCTACCACGTTTTAACGGGCCACTAACCTTAACAGTGACAAAACAATTGATTAGTCCAGTAAGGGTATGGATGTCTAATGACAATAATATGAACCGAGGTTCCTAATAGTATTAAGCAAGGTGAAAAGGTGAGATATGGAATAAAAATATGTTTCATGGATACCCGTACCGACCTCTAGCATCCCCTTTCAAGCTCCTGGTTTGTTGGTTTCTAATTTCATTAATGGTTTCAGAAATATTTCATCAACAATGAAATAAAAATATGGATTTTCATGGACCTACTGATCTCTTTATCGACCATCTTCTAGTGCAATTTGGGTGGATTTCTCTATTGTTTTAAGTTCATCCCTCCCATATGCTTATGCGCTAGCGCATCTTACTCAAATTGCTCATTCGGTGGACCACATCTATATATATTATCAAATTAGCAAAAAGAATAATTTACCAAGTCCTTATAATCATGACTGGTTTATTTTATTGCATGGACTTATGTTTATTTACATAAGTAAATTATCTTATTATATACTCTACATGCCTTCTTTTCCTTTCATATTTTTAGCTGGAACATCTTCTCTGGCTCTCAGTCACTCTCATCGTAGCTCGTTCTTCCCGGTCGCGCTTGTGGACATAAGCAATGACGCCACTACTTGCAAAAACGAAAGATTGCATGTTGTCATAAGCACTGACGTCACCACAAGCTGTCGTAAGCATTTTAAACTAGTGGATTTGATTGAAGAAAATAGGTCGTTGTCTAACCCTGAGTCCAAACTGAGTCCAAACTCTGATCCGTAATCATCCAAGCACTTCAATGAGCTAACCTTCAAAAAAAGGAGCTATACTTCAAAAGTGTTAGAGTTGTGTCGAATATTATTGTACAAATTAGGTTACAGTTAGACTTGGAGTCGTACGATGTGTAGACAGGATATGGAGTCGTGTCCAAGTAATATGCAAGGGATCCAAAACTACACACAACGCCGGTCGCCGGATATTCAGTCCCTACCAAAACTTCTTCATAGTTGGCCCCGGATATGCAAGTCATCATGCAGGATGGTAATATTGGTTTCTATCTATTATATGTATTGTCATGATTTATTTGTTTTGTTTTTGTAATACATATTTTTTCCATATTGCACTTCCATATGCTTCCCTTGACCACTTTATCTTGACCCTTGGCTTATCTGTTGCCTTGGTCAAGCTTAAGATGATTTAGGACCTTAGATATGCATTGAAACTTCAGATGATCGCATTTTACCTAAACCAAGCATTGAAAGTACCTCATCCTGAATGGAACGATAATACTTTTTTCTAGCATGGTCGATTACCAGCTTGTGTTCCAAAAAACACAGATAGATGAGTGACTCTGAAACCCATTAATGCATCTTATTTAGTTCTTGCAATGGTTAAGATAATGACAATGAATTTATCTACAGGAACTTGTTTGGTTATTATGCTTTTAGCGGCGCACATGCTGGCATGAATATGGCGCTAACATTCTTTAAAGTCGGGTGGGAAAGCATGTGGGCAAGAGAGATGGTTTTGGGTTGGCCACGGTTGCCAGACGCAGGCGTGGTAGCGGTCCGAATGCCCGCGAAGTCCCCCATTTTGTGTCCAGTTTGCGGGAAAAAGTGCGTTAGGACCGCCAAGCGGACAGATACAAGACCGTTTTGGTTGGCAAAACACGTCCGGATCGCACAGTCAAGACGGTTGCGAGCGGTTTGAGGGTCCGTGTTGGAGATGCCCTAATTCTCACATATATTTGTAATATTAGTTAGAGACGTGCATTTGCACGTACAAGCTTACTAGTTACAACTAAAGAACGGCGTGGCATTGCATGCTTGAGACAAGGATAAATCGTACACTTTTCTTCATTGGTCCTTGTGCCAACGTAAAGCAACCACACACATTCCCCATGACAAAATGGGCAAGTGGTTGGATAGGGATCGTTGAAGGCTGTTGCGATAAAGTGATGGCCGATTGCACATTTCAAGGCGCATATGGAGGGCTATGAATGCACAATCACCGAATGACGACGCAGTGCCATATCGTATACATATAGAAATATACTACACTTTAATCAACACTTAGCTACAGAGATCCTTCAAGGACGATCGATGATGGCCGGCGCTCAAGAGCAAGGGCTGAAGCTGCTGGGGGCGGCGTCCGGGGTGAGCCCGTACGTGATCCGCGCCCAGATGGTGCTCGGCATCAAGGGGCTGACCTACGACTACCTCCCCGAGGACCCCCGGTGCAAGAGCGACCTGCTCCTCGCATCCAATCCCGTGCACAAGAAGCTGCCTGTCCTCATCCATGGCGGCAGGCCCGTCTGCGAGTCGCTGATCATCTTGGAGTACCTCGACGACGCCTTCCCCGAAAATGGCGCCGCCATCCTCCCTGCCGACCCCTACCGCCGTGTTGTCGCCCGTTTCTGGGCCGCCTACGTGGATAACAAGGTATGTTTCATCTTGTCTAGTTTGGCCCAGCTTAGACTTTTCTCTTTCATTAAAGTGATAATACTTTTTTTTTTAGTTGGACATGTTGGTTGCGTGCATTGTGTTATGCAGATGTTGAACATTCGCTCTGAGTTGTATTATCTTGAAATATCCATTGAAAGAAAATATTGATTAATGAAAAATCACATAATCAATGTGCTGCCACAGCTGTTCCCTTCGTGCATCGGCATCCTCAAGACAGGAAAGCTGCAGGAAAGAGCCGACAAGGTGGAGGAGACCTTGTCAGCACTCGGGCTCCTAGAGGCCGCCCTGGCGGAATGCTCCAAGGAAGGGGGCGCGGAGGCGCCGTTCTTTGGCGGTGGCTCTCCCGGGCTGCTTGACATTGCACTCGGGTGCTATCTTCCCTGGATCGAAGCGATAGGCTGCCTTGCTGGCATGCCGCCATTTCTCGACGCAGCGAGGACACCAAAGTTGGCCGCATGGGCGGACTGGTTCAGGGCCGCCGAGCCGGTAAGGGCGCTGCTGCCTGCGGCGGACAAGGTGGAGGAGTACATCTCAACGGTTCTTTATCCAAAGTGGAAGGCCGCGCTCACTGCGTCGGCAACTAATTAGAGAACATGTCGCCTCGTTACATCGCTGTTGCTGTGCTCGCCTTCAAATTCAGTTGGTGTTTTCACGAGTTGTTCTGCTCTCGCTGAACTTTTGTTACTTGGTTGTTAGCGTCTGATCGTCATGGATGGTGCGCATGCGTGCACCGTCTTCGATCTGAGTTTGCTGTTTTGGGAATAAATTAAAGCTTCATCATTCTTTGATCGCTTTCTCAAGGACGTTTTTTTTTCTTGAAAATATCAGATCCATTATAAATGTTCACGGAAAGTACAATACCCAAACATAATAAAAATTACATCAAGATCCGTGGGCAACCGAACAACCATTGCCGCCGCCCGAACGAGCCGCCGACGCGCCGCTGTTGCTGCTCCGATACCGGAGCCGGCTGGACCTTATCGATGACAGCCGAGAAGTATTCGTGCGTGTGCCCTAAGGACGAGCGTTTGGGGGCCGCAAGCATCGCCATTGAATCCTTCAATTGAACTGAAGAACCTGACATCAAATCTTGTTGGTGCGTATGCACGACAAGAAACACTAACCTCGCTGCTCCGAGGAGCAGACAGGAATCTAGGCCGGAGCTCTGTCTAATACGCCCTGATGAACAAACTTGAGGAGGATCAGAGTCCGAGAGACTGAAGCGAAGAAGAAGCGTCGCCATCCATCCGAGTGTTGTCCTTGTGATAAGCAAAACCATACCTATCTAAGTCGTGGAACCAAGAATACCCTCCCCGCCACTGGCTGCCGGAGTGCCAGGAGGAGGGAAGTGAATCCACATACTCGTCGGCGGAGATCATAAGGAAGATGGCTTTGCCAAGTCGGCTTGCGGGAAGGGAAACAAAAAACTGTGTCTACTATATATACTTATCCGATTTTACCCCGTCAAGGACGTTACTAGTACGAAATGCAATGTTATCCTCTTGAGTTCTTAATATCTAAAGGAAGATTTTAAAACATGTTAATACGAGATTTTGTCACGGCAATAAATATAAATAGCATGGCCTCGAATGAAAAAGTGGTACATGATAATCTCCATCTCATCAAAACAGAGAAATTTGATGTTTAGGCCATCTCCATCCGATTTCATACGGAGGGCCGAAGTAGTGTGTGGGGTGCTGAAAGTTGCTGCTCAGGTAGTGTTCGGCTGATTACACACCCAAGATCACCTCAGATGAAAAAAGGTTACTGCCCGGGGTAATGCGCGAAGGAGAAAAGAAGAAGGATATGTGCGGGATTGCCTGCGTGAGTCTATTTTTACTTGAAAAGAAAGAAACGTACCGCCACCGTGTGGAAGAACCCTACCTCACCGAGCCTTCGCAGTGTCTCGTTTTCGCTGCCAGGCGGCTAATCATGCGTGGCAGCGGGCAGTACTCCACTTCCATAGCATGTCTTTGTTGGCGGTCGGTCCTCTCCTTCGACAATGCGATGTGCTGCCTAGCGAGGTCGCGGCCCTGTTTGTCCAATCTAGTCGTGGTCGTTCAGGTCTCGAGGAGCAACTGCGGGAGCCGGCGCCCTTCGACATTCTGCCTCTGCGGCTCAGACGCAATGGATATCCCCGTCTCAGCCAAATCCCAACTTCTCTTGCTAGATGCCGCTGTTCGATGCCTTGATTGAAACATGATGTTTAGCTCTTAATGATTTCCTCTTTCCATGTTATTTTCTTTCTTTAATTTCTAAATCTAAAGTCTTTGAATGTGAAAACCGGTTTACTAATTTTTGTTTCTATTTAATTTTACATGAAGGTGAGATGAATAAAAGAAACAAAACAATGACACCTTTTCAAGTTCACATCACCGGACCCTCCTTGGAAAACGGTCCATTAAGTCAAACAACTAATAATATCCCTCGTATTAGAGCTCAACTCAACCCCGATGATATTGAACAGTAAGAGAATACCAATTGACTCTTTTTACATTTTGCATCTATATTGTATTTCAAAATTTATCGTTCAAGGTTTAGCTTTTATTGAAGACCATTGGAGGCTAAGATTAATCACTCTTTTGACTTGTGTCTAAAACCACGATACTTATTTCAGTTCAGAGGGAGTAAATGTCCTAATTTTTTGTATCACCATTGAATAAATACTTTCACTGATTATTGTGGTTACATTCTTATTTGTCCGAGAAGTTTTAACATGACCCATCTTAACTCCTTTTTTCATGCGAGATATAAAGGGACATAAGACTAATTAGTCACATGCATGCCACATAGGCAAAAAGTATGATGTGACAAGTAATTAATGAGGAGAGATGCGAATGAAGTAACATAATATGTTACCATCATGTAGCGATTCTGAATATAAAATGACTCTACAAAGTAATGAATGAACCTCTCTATGTCATCACACGTATGACACTACCCACCAGTCTAAGTTACTTCCTTTTAAAATTGCTCATGCATTGAAACTGGGTTGTTTTTAGTTATTTTTTGACCTATAGTTTCTCGCTCGCGGCTCAATCAAGCCTGCCTCCGCCATTGTTCATAAGGAATGACACTTACATGATTAATGTAAAAGACTTGGGGGTATTTTTTTGGTTGAGCCAAACTAGGAGAGGGTGTTAAACTATAATCTTGTTTCGCCAACTAATATGCATCATGCTCTCTGCAAAAATAAAAAAACTAATATGCATCATGGAGGCAGTGTACCAGCTAAAATATCCAAGGACATCGGCAAGAAGCATTTGTTACAATAGCTAGCAGTAAAATATATTTAATTCATGTCCGTTGAATTTAGCTAAGTGTAAGGAGAATAGTGCATATATAGTTTCGACATGACACTATGAGCATAATACGCAAACCCTGCGTGTCAGGGCAACCCAACATTATGAGCATAATATATTACAAACTCCATTGCTAACACGCAATATATTTCGACATGACACATAGACGGGACACGTCATTGATACGTGGTGTTTGTACATGCTATCTTTGTTGTATGCATTTTTTCGGTAACAAACAAATAAGTCAATGTGTACTACAAAAATTGCGAAAGACACATAGGCACATTGGTAGTTTAGCACCTTGCTGAAATCGTAACGATCACAAATCACAAAAGAGAGGCTTCACTGATTACTTCAAGGTCATGTTAGTTTAGCATGTTGCCCGGATTGCTTAATCAACATGACATTGTATTCCTGTCCAACACTTAGACCATATTTTATCTCAGTTCTAACAAAGAAATTTCAAAATGCTCGCCTCAGTGAGATCAAAAGTGAATTGGTATATGATTTTGGTAAACGTTGCATTGCTAAGTGACCAATAAGTACCTATATCATGAAAGTGAAATATTTGGCTAAATAGTAATGTTTCCCGCGGTAACATTAGCTTAATAATTCTATTGTTCGGCAGTAAACCTTCCATGTGTAAAGGAGTATTTGTAGATTATTTCAAAAATAGAGCACCTCCCATATAAAAAACTATATTATTAAGAAAAGCATGGACAGCCAATCATTTACTGGATGGGAAGAAAAACAAACCTAACATCATCAGAACAAAGGTGGCATACATGCATTAGACCAATTCTGCTTAAATGTAATCCTAAAGTTCTTGACATATAAGGACAAAGTCTCACAATTTCATTCATACAATTCTGAGTGTGCTACGGACGCAACTGAACTGGCCGACGCTAGTTCGCTACTGCTGTTGCCACCGTGTCTGCCGTGGCTCGCTGGCCCCTATCAGAGGTAGGAGTATCTCGAACATGTAGCAGCCATAATCAATGCTACATACGTAGAAAAGAAATAGAAAGAGAATACTTTACTTTTATCAGCTTTTTAGTAAGTGAAAAAGCTAGATCGCTGGACATGTCATCATGTGTGTACGATTAGTTATACATTACATTACAGACGGAGAGCACTGCGTACATTTAAGTAGAGCACCAAGTCTATCATACTATTACAGTACACAATTTCAACTATGTCCCAGTTGCATCTATGAAAACTTGGTTATATTATACAATAGGTCAAGAGAACTGGATAAACCCAAATGGAGTGGTAAGTTTTTCTTATTACAGTACACAGCTTTACTTGTGCATACAAAGCACTCAAGCTACAGTGTGGAACTAAGCTGGTCCTTTCTTGCTGTTAGCACATAGCTTAGTCCGTTTTGAACCTTCATGCGTACACAGCTCCCTGGCTACTTAATAACTGGTAAAAAAGCAAAAACAACAATACTACATTTAAGTACCAAATAAGATGTATTTGTTGTATACGTAAAAGATATCTGACAAACCTCTTTTTGATTTTCCCGCTGACATTTGACTTCTCTCTTCTTGATTCGCGCTGTATCGTTTTCATCCTCTAGTAATTTGATACTCTGCTTGCTTAATCTGAGGATTACCAAGGCTATAAATTACCTCTACTACTGTCGGAGAAGGTTGGGGGGTTGTTTCCAATTGCTTTTCAAGGTTTGGTAGTAATAGCTGCTGCCTCCATCTAAAGCAACGGCTCGGTTGATTCCACTTGATAGAAGTGGTGATCCCATGAAGAGAATTAGCAGTTGATGTAGTGATTATGATGAATTTTTCTGTGCAATAGAGATAGTTCAGGTTGGGGTGTATATTCAGCTTTATAGAATAACCACCAGACCGACAGTGTTCGGCACAGCGGACCAAATTGAAAAACCAGCCTGCCTGCAAAAAGCACAAATCAGAAATTGGATGGAAAAAAAATCCAGAAGACAAAACATGCTTATACCAGCACAAAATCAACAGCGTCATACCACAATTTTACAGCGGCCACCGACGAACATCAATACGATCCTAATCAAGCAAAGAGAGCAAAAACTGACAAATAAAGACAG